AGCTATACAAGAAAAGCGTTTTAGGAGCTTCAGAAAATGTTTTAATGGGTTTAAGTTTGGCTTGTGAAAAATCATATCGTGTGCAGTTAACTGGGAGGAAATTCTGTTGTATGTTGAACCAAAAAGTCATGCAGGAGCAATTATCATCTATTGATCATCTTATTAATCGTTATTGACTGAATGCCACAATTAATTGTGATTAATTGTTCTGCCAATATTGCCTAACCCTGGTTCCAGAATTAAAACGTTCTGAGTGATTTTGTGAGGGCAGACAAAATGCAGCCTTTTGAAAACAATGATGTCATAGCCTCCACCTCTAAATAAACCTACAACTCAGAGGGTGTCCTCTTCTTCTTCTTGTGTTTACAAGGCATGGCCAGTRTGACAGTATTATGGTATACCTCGTTTTAGAAATACGGCGACAATATTTAAAAATTATGAGGTATGTTAATGAGGCAATGCACCAAATTTCCACAAGTCTGATCTGGTAATACCTTATACAGTATTGTGTTGTTGATTAGGGGTGCACCGATTGCAGTTTTCAGGCCGATCACTCATCTTTAAAAAGTCTGACCTGCTGATTCAGATTTTGGCCGATACTGATTTTGTTTTTAAAACAGTCAACTCTATCAGGTATTAAAATACACCTTCATTGTTCCCATCTTATTTCATTGAAAAACATTGAACAATACCCTTTAGACATTATAAACTTGTTTTAACTGGACATGACTTAGTGCTCACAGCAGAGCAAAATGTGACAGTGGCTGATTTTCAGACCTTTGTGGAGGTAGATGAGAAGCTAAGCTTTTCCACCAATCTTATCAAAGTATCGGCCAATCKCCAATCTCCCAAAATTAAGGAAATCTGTGCCAGTAAGTTATTTATCGGTGCACCCGTCTTAAAGTAATACTGCTGTATGAAAAATGTCAAAACGGATACATAAAATACAAATTTTTGACAAACTGTTTTCGTTTAGAAAAGGTTCAAGACAAGCAGCTACCTTCAGAGCAGACCTTAGCTTTTCAATCCTGCCAAACCTAAACTCAATTTATCAACAGAGGTCATTCAAAGAGCTATCTACAGCAGGTAAGATATTAACTGCTCATGACCTTTCTCAAGATCCCTACTTCAAATTGGCCAAATCATCTCCTTTGGTCACCTCATTGTCTTGCTCCGATTTACTCGTCATCCTCTGTCACAGCGTAGAGATAACCTGTAAATTTCCCCTGAGAGCATATCGTTCATGACTGATGTGATTGTGGCTCAGGCTTCAAAAGATTTAAGGGCTTTTATGATTCCAGTCTGTCAGCTGTTATTATCATCATTAGATGGTTGCTTTATGCTTCAGTCCAGCCTGACTAGCACCATGGATCTCAGCACGTTTCAAATCTCCAAAACAAGCATGTTGTCTGTTCGAACTGCCGACCGGCTGTCTAAAGCAAAAAGCACAGAATAACAAAACAGTACCTTCTTCTTTCAAACACAATAGAAGATATCACCCTCATTTCTTTCGCAATCACTTGAGATCTTTTGCTTCTTACTGCATCATGCTTCACAGTGCCTGAAGGAACAATAACGCAAATGCAAACCCCTGCAACAATCTGCCTCTGTCTCTGCTTCATGGTTTATTTGACTGCAAGTGCACACAGAGCACAAGGAAGAGCAAATACAAACAAATTCTCCGAGTCATAAAAGCACCGTCCGTTTGTCTTTGGCTCTCAGAGAGAATAAACACCCTCCCTTCATCACCTCCCTGACACCTCTGCAGCTGGACAATAGATCTGCTTTCTTTTTACAGTGAGACGAGAGAGAGAGAGAGRGGGGGGCTCCGTATGTCCCGACAGATGAAGAGGCTGGCAAAGTCATTTACTCGTGGTCACACTCGCGAGTCCAGGGAGTCATCGTGTTATGAGCCTGGCATCGTGCAGACGGCGAGCTGGCTGAGAGGAGCTCCACAAGGTGCTGCGTTACGTCACGTTCAGACGTGTGGGGCAAAACAAAGCCATGTGCAAAAAACACAAAACCAAAAGGAAAAAAAAACAGACACTGGTGCTTTGGGCAGACAAAAAACAGAAATTAAAAACGTGGAATTATCTCCGGTGTTAACAACATCCTGCGACCTTAACCTGGAAGATGTCCGGTCGTTAAAACTAGAGCGCGACCTCTGACTCAGGCTGGTTGGAAATCATTAAACGATTAAGCTGAAATTCAAGCACCTTCGGAGCTCATCCTCCTCCATCAGTTTATCTCTCAGTGTTTCATCTTAAAGATTACAGGACGAAACAAACTGAGGATCTGAGCAGAATATGAAACTGTCTTGGCTCTAATGGTCACAAAGCTCAAAGAATGTCCTTTATATCTAATGCATTCTGTGAAAAGGTAATAAACAATAGCTTACCTGTAGTAGATGTTTCTATYAACAGCCTCAGTTTAGAGAAATGCTTTATTTCTGACAGGAATGATGAGCTAGTGACTAGTCTGAGTGTATCTACGATCTTAAAAACACATTTTTGTTTGTTGTTTTGTTTATTTGCAAGTTTTCTGTGGACTTCAAGTGAATGTGACATCAACGTTTTGTGATACTAACACATACAGTTTTGGAGAGACAGTAACATATTGCAAAATCCATGCCCGCTGAGATAAACAGGAGATATAGTTTCATTAAGTGACAACAAAGGGGAATGCCTGCATGTAAACAGAGCGTTGCTACAACGGCTAACTACAGAATGTGTTGTTTCTGTAGAATATCTTCAGTATCAGAGTCAGGAGTTCAAATAGTATTGCTTTAATAAGCAAGGATCAGGATGTTACCCTTTGTCCTCACTTCCTGTTTCACTTTGGCTACTAAGTTCCCAAAAAATTGTCAGTTATGTGACAAAAATGGGTAAAAACACACGTATTATGTCAAATTTCTTAAATATTTACACTTTTTCCCCACTTCTTGTATTCGTAGAAGCATAGGCGCAACTGCAATTTCAAAAAAAAAATTGTAGAAGTTTAAATTAGGGGTGCACCAATAAAGCAACTGGCCAATTGTTCAGCCCTGTTTTTCTTTAATTTTGGAGATCAGCCCCTACTTTTTTGAGAAGCCAATCTTATCAACCTCCACAAAGGTCTGAAAATCAGCCATCTGCTGCGATGAGAGAGCTGTTGTTCAGTTAAAACATGTTAGCATTATTTCAAAGGTATTGTTCAATATTTAATAAAATAAAATTGGAACATTAAAAAGGCATTTCTAGAATTCAAAATGAAAATGGTACACCCATTATCGGCCAAAATTAGAAATGGCCGGCTAGATTTTTTTAAAGATCAGCAATCGGACAGAAAACTGCAACGGATGAACCTCTAAACAATTTCATACTGATGTCAATTTATTTACACAGAAATTAATTTATTTACAAGCACATTTAGCTAATACGTCTGGTCCAACCTGCATTACAGACAGGTATATCATCTGTGTTCATGTGAACTGCAGTGATATTTTTTGACACTGGAGTCTTTTAAAATGAAAGGAATACATTTAGGTTTTAGTCCTGCTTGGAAATCATCAATCCGATCAAACTTAAACTCCATCAAACTCAGCGAGGTTGTTAAAAAATCTCCAAAAATTAAGATATTCATTGTTCATAAACTTTTCCACAGAACTAACTCCGTTTTMTTTCCATGCTTTTCTGTACAAGGCTTTCGTTGGGCGAAGTGTGGTACATCCACAACAGGTCCCCACAGGACCACAGAGACTAACAAGAAAGGTTGCAGCAAYGGGCTTTTAAACATGTTATAAACTGGGGTTTGACACATGGATCTAYGGAGATTTACTCCCTTTAAGTCAATGGAGTCAGCCTCAAGGGATCACTGAGGAAACAGGCATGTTTTAGTGTTTATTAGTTTCAACAACTTGGATAAGGCACCGTCTCTTTTAAAAAATACTCAGTATCATATTAGCCTGATAAAAAGGCAAACTCTCTTCTAGGTGCATGAAAAATGTATCTATGATAGGGGCCAAGAAGACCCCTGTTAGAGGACTTTGTTTTTCTAGTCCTTGTTGACCCATTTTATYTTATTTTCTTTTTTAAAGATGTACAAATTCTACAGTTTGAATGATGTTGGAGGAGGATGTGAATTATTTAAGCTTGATGTTACAGAGGAGCCGGACACTGTTCGTTGGAAGACAGAAGGCTGGAGGGGGTTTCAGAGGAGAAGGAGGGGGGCTATAGCAGTCTCCTAAYGTGTCTTTCAAAGAAACGCGGCTCCAAATATTAACAGACTAAAGTCCATGTGGGGAAAAAACGCGCGGTCACGTGAAAACATGACATTTTCTTCCCATCTCTTCAGCTGAATTTAGCTCAAGTCAAACTTAAGAGCTCGTGAAAGTAACGCGAGAAGTCTTCATGTTAATGACAGAGATGATGATGATGCTCATGATGAAGGGGAGGTTTATCTCCAAGGTTAAGTTCACCCCCCCGCGCGCGCTCAACAGCCTCCTCTCATGTTGCGGTACCTCTCGCGCCTCTCTGTCAGGGTTTCCAGCACGCGCAGGGTCAGAGCGCGAGACTGGAGTTAACAAGAGTGCAGGTGCGGATTTTTAATCTGCTTCAAAAGATGAAAAATAAATAAATAAACAAATGAATGGACCAACGCGCCACGCGCTCTGCCCCTTAATTGCCCATTAACAGAAAGTAACGCGCCTTTGTTTTGGTGTCGCATTGTGTTGCCGCTCGATAAATCATTTAACACCGCCATTATTTCGAAGTAACAACGTGAAAATAAAACGTGTGTTTGTTGCTGAACAACACTTAATTGAAGGCGTCGCGTCAGCGGCYACCTTCGCAGCGTCGCTCAGCTCGGAGACCTGTTAAGCCCTCAGTCTGACTGCGGTAAAGCCGCACAAACAGCAGGTGTTGCACGAAGCGGCGCATCGGTTCGAACCCGTCTCAGTCCAGACGTACAGCAACAAACCAAACGTGAGGACATGGGGACAAACATAAAAAAGAAAGACTCACCRGCAGCAGTCCGTCAGGGTCGAGCCTTCCTGCTGTTCCTCCTCGCGTCCTCCTTGGAGTTAATGAGGTTCTGACGTTTAGTCCGTCTGATTCCTGCCTCAACACTTATCATCCACTAGCTGTAGAACTGTTGTTTCTTCTTTTTCCTCCYCTCCAGCGCTGAAATATTAGATAATTTGGTGAGCTTTCGAGAAGAAGCCCCCCCTCTTCTCYCTCTACAAACTAACCTTCTCGCCCCCTCTTTGCGCCCAGCTCAGATTGGTGCTGGACAGGAGGAGGAGAGGGTGTAGGGGGTGAAGCCCCGAACCTTCAGGCGGGTGACACAGCGATCAGAGCCCACATGGACACGGAGTGGACGTCTAGGGGTGCGTGGGCATGTGGGTGTGTGTATGGGGGGGGGGGATCATTCACCCTCCTCTCCTCTTGAACAGATGCGCGTGCGGAGAGGTGGGGGCTTTGAGAAGTGATGCAGGTGCCCAGAGGTTCGAGCACCGTCTGACAGGAGATGCCAAGTCTGACAGTGACAGAGTAATCTCATCTGAGTCAGCGCAGGAGCAGGAAATGGGAGCTGATTCCCCCCCCCCCCCCCCCAACACACACACACACTGTGACCTTGGGGGACGTGGGTGGAGAGGGTGCGCTGGAAAAAATACAGAAGAGAGGAGCAGAAATGGTCTACAGGAGACACCTCACCTTCGTCTCGCCTTAATGTCTGCAAGGTGCCTTTATGAGAAAGGTTCACCTCTGCTCACACAGCAGAAAACTGGACCTAAATAAATGTGTTTGCCCTGTAGAGATGCCCAGGTGTGTTGTGCTCAACAACTCCCAGGTGTGTTGTGCTCAATAACTTCCAGGTGTGTTGTGCTCAATAACTCCCAGGTGTGTTGTGCTCAATAACTTCCAGGTGTGTTGTGCTC